ATATCTTCATGGAATATGATCTTTACTTAATATCCTAATGATTTTTGGCATACATTTTTTTTTTGGCTATGGCTAAAAATATACCCAAGCAACTTAAGACTGGTTTTGTGGTCCAGGGTCACATATTTGTTTTATCAAGTCATTTATTTCTTTACTTATTTTCCTATTAATAAATTGATTTATGTATTTACCGATATATTTATTTATTTTTAATTTCTGCAGGTTTCGTCCTCCATAGGCTTGCCTTCGAGTGGCTTTGTTTCTAGTAATCCTGAAGACCTTGATTAGCTTGCTCAGCTGTGTTTGATCAGGGTTAGAGCTAAACTCTGCAGGAAAGTGGACCTCGAGGGCCAGAGTTGAGAAGTCCTGATGTAAATGGACCATCTCCTTACAGCAGATCTCCATGTGTGCAACAGAGTAATTCCTGGTGTTGTTTTGAACTGACACCTTTACACATTTTATAAGCTCTTTGTGAGTTATAAGCTGGTAAAAAAAATAGCACTATATGTACACATATACATTGAGTGCAATTAGCCCAGCACACAGCAGTTTTGGATGTTCAGTTAGTTAACAAAATATGTCATAAAAGCTGTCAGGTTGTGACTGTATCCTTTTGTTTTGTACATTAAAGTTAGATTTTAAAAATGACTGCTGAATGAATGCCAAGTGAACCAGGACTAAATGTATCATTTATTTTTTTAATCCAGACCAAAAGAAACAAGAGAACCAAACTATCCTGAAACAACATTTCAAGAGTTTGCATACTGTCTCATCCCTTTCAGTTTACCTGCATTGTTAATGAGCAAGTCGAGTCTCGGTTCACTTTTCAGAAAAGTCTCTGCAAAACCACGCACAGATGTCAAACTGGCCAGGTCCAGATGCATGTACAGCACCTCAGGGTTCCCACTTTCCTGAGGGATATACAGCAAAATGTCTGTCTTTGAGACGCGAGTCAGAAAAATGATAAGAACCAGGAGGAATTGAGGTTTGTAGAGGACTTCACCTTTCGTATGTCATAAACTGCAGCTTCAGCTTTCTGTTTGTTTCGGCAGGCAAGGATCACTCGGGCCCCTCTCTTGGCCAGATCCAAGGCTGTTGTTTTGCCAATGCCAGTATTACTCCCTGCATACATATGATTGATTACTCAACCCTGAGCCAGTGTTAAGTGTCCAAACTAACTACAATAGACATAATATAAAATAAAACAAATCAAATAAATGAGGACTGAGGACAGTGGTACTCAAATACAACTGTATACAACTTAGTATAACCACTATTAAATGAGTCTTAGTAAGAAGTTCAGCTTTTATTTACTTAAGTGGTATTAAGTTGGATTGGATTGTTTAATATGTAAAGCGTTTAAATGATACTAACCTGTAACAATTGCTGTTTTCCCCTTTAACGTCACGTTGCTCTTACATCTGGCTCCTTTAAACAGGCTGTAATAAATAAGTACGTATGCAGCAAGCACACCGACCAGCACTGACAACAACACAGACATTAGTCCCGTTGAGCGCGTCAATAAAACGATGTTGCAAATTTTCAAAGTTGAGGAGAGCACATGTGCTTTGCTTCCTCTCCTTCTTCTTATTTTACGGCGGATCGCAGACTTATCGTGTGCTTTGCTCTTCTACTTTGTCGTGTTTATGTTTTCGTAACTGCCAGCTACAGCTTCCGGGCTTTAACTTCTGACAAACGCTGGGTGGCGCGATTTCTCTACGTCAGGGTGAATCTCATTACCTAGAGAGAGAGCACCCAAGATCAGAAGAAAAGACCAATAATAAGCCAGTTTTGATATCACAAAAAAAATATCCCATAACATTACATACCATTTGTTTCATTAAAAAGCACAATTTCCACTGTAAAATAATTTAGAGATGACCAATAGGCAATAAAGTTCTTAACAAAAATCAAACATTTTATTTTTTTACCAAAACGATGACATTATATTATATTATTATTATAATACCCCTAGAACCATTTCTAGTGTACTTCGGGTCCTTAGAACAGAATTCAACACCTTATGCCTTTATAAATTTATATTATAAAAATATAAATATATATATAGTGTATAGAAATATGTATACTTAAATATATATTTCTATACACTATATATATATTTATATTTTTATAATATAAAAATATAAATATATATATAGTGTATAGAAATATGTATACTTAAATATATACAATTGAAAAAAATATAACTCAAACACTTAAAATATCAATTTAAATTATATTAATAAATATATATAAATTGGTATATGAAAATTGCAATGTCTTAACAAACAAAAAATAAAACTCAAAAGATAAAAACCTATATTTTTGATTGAAAATTATACTTTTATTATAGAGGTAAATATATTATTTCCATATTTTATGAAAAAACATTATATCATTTTGGCCATTTTTAGATTTTGTAAACTTGTTTGTATCAACACCAGAAAAACAAAGTGGCTGCAGCTTTTAATACATGTTATACAGAATATAATTGTTTTATCAAAAAATGTTTGATTATTCTGATTGTGATGATTCAGTAGATGGATCTAAAAATCATTAATAAATATATTAATTTCTTGAAGTTAATGCTAGATTTGTCATTATAATATTTGGCACCTTTTCCATGTAATCATGATGAATAACAGGTAAGGGAAGTCGATATTGCACCCAAGCATATGTGAAATCAATAATTCCTTGATACATAAACTTTTATTGATTTATTTCCAACTTATTTTGTCCCTACCCTATTTTGTCCCAGTACTCAAAAACCATTGGCCATTAAGTTTTTATAACAACATTTATATGATATTTTGGTGTTAATAATGGTCCAATTTTGTGACATTAAAATTTGGGCCATTTTACAAAGCTTGAAACTACACTACATGCATCAAACAAACTCTCACAATAGGTAGTTTTCATAAGTGTACCCTTTATTGATCTCTTTTGCACAGACTGCATCATGACAGCGATGAGGAGCACTGTGCCGCTGACAGAATCAGTCTGCTTGAATTCTTCCTCTCACTTTTTTCTTTCAAATCGATGGCATGCAGAAAGATGAAAGCACCGTAAACATTTGCCGAATGCACCAGACATTCAGCCTGTGCTGGGCTTGCCGGTATCGGAATGAAGGGGTGGGGCTGAGGAAGAGGATGAGGAGGTGGGGGAGGGAGGAAGGGAGCTGGGTGAGTTGCCCTCACTGCTGAACCCGGCGGAGGGACTGCACCTGGAAGGTCTGAGCGTGGGAGCCCCACTCCCTGTAGTGTTTGTACTTGCCACCATGGTGGTCACACTCCATGATGTACTGGTAACCACGGTAACCGGGGTACTGGTAACAAACCCAGCTACATGCAGTGAGAAAACACATGGCAAATGCAGACTGAGATCCCTTATTTAATATTCCAAGTATCCCAAATATTACATCACCTGAAGCTAATGGTGTATAGCAGGGTGTCCAACCCTGCTCCTGGAGGGCCAACAATGTGAAGATTTTAGCTCCAACCTGCTTTGTCTGGAAGTTTCTAGTGAGTCTGAATCGCATGTCTGAGTAGGTACTGCATTTGAATTTGAACTTACTTTGTGGCCTCTAAAAAAATGTGATCTATTATGAACAGTGCTATGTAGTAATGTTATTGGGCATTTAATGTCATTGCTGTTTTCATGTTTATTAATGTTTGTTCTTGTAATGCAGGGAATCCCTTTGACCTAAAATATTGACTTGATTTTAAGTTTCAATACTTTATCAACACATTTGCATGTTCAGGGTTTTCTGATGTTGATTAATGGTCACATTAACATGCAGGTAAACAAATTCAATTACATTTCTATTTTTATTATTCAATCATTTATTTCGTTTTTTTATTTATAAATAATTTATTCAGCTTAATTTTCCATTTTTATGATTTAATTAATTATTAACTTCAGCAACTCACAACCCCCACGCAGTTTTTAATTAAACCCAGTTTGGGAAACCCTGGCATAATGTAATGTTTAATGCAGTTGTTGATGACAAAAAATTTGATTTTTTTTTTCCTTTTTTATGTCAATATGGTGCACAATAATCCCATTCAAATCTATCTCTCTAATTTATATAAACAAATTAGGTCACAAGTTATCTTAAAGTAATCAAAAGTAGTCAGAATGCATTAGTAATCTAATCATTTTACTATTTTACTCAATTTTACAAATTCCGTCATGTAATTTGTAATCGGTAACAGACTACAGTTTAATCTTCCCAGTACTGAGTATGAATATGGGTAGTATGAAATTCAGAAATACTACATCATGTTACTTCCATGACATCATTGGATAGTAAAATGTCCCTTAAATGCACATTTCAGAATCTCATCAGAAGTAGTAGGTCATTCAGGTACTTTTCGCCTACTGTTTTTCAAATACTGTGAATTTGGACATACTTCTCTTTTGGCATACTGTTTTTTTGCATACTATATAGTAGAGAAGTATTTGATTTCAGATGCAGTTCTTGATTAGCTGGTGCATTTGTGTTTAATTAGGGTTGGAGCTAAACTCTGCAGTTTGGACACCCCTGGCATAGAGAGTAGAGACAAGTATGGTACTCACGCCCCACTTTGCACCTGCATTGATCCGATCTCGTTGGAGGGCCAGCCCATGCCCTGGAGAGAGGGGTAGTCATCGGTTATCTCCCACTGGTGTCCAATAAAGTTCTCCCGCTCAAAGACGGTAATCTTTGACTCCTTGTGGTTCTGCGGCGATCATAACATTGGGAGAGATTGTTATTTAGAAAGACTGGTAAATAATTTCACCACTGATCCGTTGACACAGTTTCAGACTCACAGCAGAGCAGACTGGCCGGAAGGACATTAGCCTCTCAATGTGGTAGGCATTGCTGCCGCTCCAAGACTCCCAGCGAGGGTAGTCGCCTCTTTCCAAGATGAACTGCTGCCCACAGAAGCTGGAGTGTTCGTAGCCCACCCAGCTGTTCAAATGGACACCGAAAATTAGAGATAACTGCAAAAAGTGGTTTACTTTGTTTGGGGGCAAATGTGTCCCAAGAATTGAGCTAAATCTGACAAAGCTCAGCGCTAAATCTCCCTTTTAGATAACATTAATTTGAAAAATTATCTGTATATAAGTTGAATAATATAAGTAGCACCTGTAAATTTTTTATAAATATTTATAAAATATATACACTACCATTCAAATTCAAAAGTTTGGGATCAGTAAGATTTTTTTAAAGAAACTGATACTTTTATTCAGCAAGGATCCATTAAATTGATAAAATGTGACATTAAAACTGTTATAATGCTACAAAACATTTATATTTCAAATAAATTATGTTCTTTTCTATTCATTCATCCTCTGGTATGGGCTCTTTTAGATGTGTGTGTCTGTGAATGCATGACTTACGCGCCACACTCCACCTTCAGAGAACGGACAGTGTCCATGCCGCATTCCATGATGTTCTGACAGACTGAAGTGAACTCCACACGCTTGCCTTGGAAGTTCTCTTGGTCATAGACTGTGAGCTATGCACATATTCACAGACACAACAGAGATGAGATTCAAAGCATTATATGTCATTTTGCATTATTTCATAGCCATCAAATGTTTACTTGCCTTCCATGGCCCCAGTGGCATGGGATTAGTCAGAGCCATCCTTGAAGATATCTCAATGCTGATAGACCTGAAGAACAGCGATATGCAAAAAAAAAAAACATGTATGGGTTCTATATCATTTATGGCAAGTGTACAAATAGCCTGTGGATAAAGAACAAGAAAGATATGGCAGCCAAATGCCTTTGTTGCTCCAACAAGTTCTATCTGCTGATTTAGACAATAAAATTCAAACACAACAGAATAAAACCACAGCTTACAGAAATAGAAGAGACAGGTTTATGGGCAAAACATGAGGACTTAATCAAAAACTATATACAAACCTACAAATTGCACAGATTACATCAGATTTAGCCAGAAGCACTAGTAAAAAAAAAAAATTTAAATACTAATAATAATATCAAGAATGTTTTATGTTATGCAAAGCATAGAATGCCAAGTGATAACTATTATTAAAAGTCAATTTTTAACCTGCACTGAAACTGTCTGCTCTCCTCTCCCCACAGTTACAGCCACAGAGTGTTTCAGTGACTCACTTCCACCTGCCTTTACATACTCGCACACATATGCATATATACGCAATAGGCCCTTACAAGCACATCCATTCAACATCCATGTCCTGCCCACTCCTTTGACTTTATGCAAAGCAGGCTGCATGGATGGGGCCCAGTGTCGCACTAGGATGTGCATGACTAAGTAAAATGGAGCGTAAATAAGAAGATTAATAATTGTTATGCAAAGCATAGAATGCCAAATCTTTTTTATTTTTAAATACATTTTAATAGAAAATATTTATTTAAATTTAATGTAGTCTTTTGTTTTATATTTAATTTTCTGAAATGCCAATTAAAATCGTTTACATTTTTCTGAAATGCCTATTAAAATCATTTAAATTTTTCTGAAATGTCAATAAAAATCATTTTAATCTAATTTAATTTAATAATTTAATTTTAAAATGTATCTTAATTTAATACTAATTTAGTCTTTTGTTTTACATTTGATTTTTTGAAATCAAAATTCATATATATTCATATTCATTTATATTTTTGTCAAAAACACCCATTTAAAATGATTGCTATTTTTGTTTTGAGTTTTTAATTGTGTCTACATGATAGTGCACCCCTCCCCTAAAGTTTGCATCATACTAAAAGATGACC